TATATTCCATGAAATGCTCTTCACATCCCGATAGCAATGAATATCTTAAGTGCTTTGACAAAAAATCCATTAAAAAATGTCATCTGTGGAAGCCGTAGTACTGTAAAAAGCACGACCAATCATTTTAGCCGGCTCGGCTAAAATAACTGGATGGCCTACCTGCCTGTCAGCCTTCCATCTGTGCACAAACTTATCTCATGCCCTCATTGGTCATGTGCACGTTTGTGTGTGTTGGAGGAGGGGCTCTGTAAGGAAGTGGCAGATTTTTTCCAGCTGTGTATTTTCAAATTCTAGCGCACTCAAGCTGGTTTCTCCAAAATTACCTACCCCACCTTTAAAGTCCAACAACTTTTTCATGTTCTTGTGAATATGGTAGTTAATATTGTTTTCAGTTGTGTAACTACTTCTCAATTGTATTCCGGTACATTCCAGTAGAGTTATGTCTTTGTTTGAGTCCCTGCTTATTACTAACTTGGAGAATGATTTCCTCATGTTGGAATACACTACAACAACATTTTAACAGATTGACAGCTTGGAAATCTAAACAGATAGCAACCTACCTCTAACCTTAAAAAGGTATTTTAGGCAGAGAAAAGGCAAAGGAAAATAAATAAACAATACACTTTTAAATGTAACTTGGGTCACTGGACATACCATTCTTGATGGATAAACTTGATGCTGCCAGTACAGACACAGGGGTGGAAGAGGGGTTTGTCCTGACTACCCTCCGACCGACATACCCGACAGATGTCCGCTGTAGGTACACAACATCATAACATGAAATCATACTCCTGAAATATTTCATTCCATTAACTTGGCATGTTGCATTTTTATCTACAGATCAAGATTTAAAGTTTTTACAGTCATAGGCACATAGCTACAGTGTAGTTGTAATGATAATCTTAACGTTTTTACAGTCAAATGCACATAGCTACAGCCAGAGCCATATAATAGAAGAGTTACGACATCTTCGTTCACTCCAGTGGACCAGTTTTTTTACAGCAATGGCGGATCGTGGAGCCCTCAATAGTTCCTTGGAAGTTAGCTTGCCGCTGACTATTGAGGCTATCTGCGGCTAGCAGCGCAGTAGAGTTGCAGCATAATAGACCGTTCATGTTGGACTTTTAAAGGTAAGAAGACGTTTAAAGATTTAGATTGCGGATATTATTGGATTATCCCTAAATCAATATATTTAGGGAACGTTTACAGATAACAGATTAGGCTAGGATACCGGATAAAGTTAGCAACACACTATAACCATGAACAGCCTATTAATCCGTTCTCTTAATGTTATTTCAACCCAACATTGTGGAATTAGAGAAAAGGGGCTTCTTAACGTGCTTTTATCCGGGCTGGAGGGAGTTAAATATTAGTTAAATATAACATTGGGGCGTGTGATTGTAGTGGGTGGAGGTGGTGGAATGAGGATATATTTTTTGGAGTTCAAGCTGGTATATTATAGTTAACGTTACATAATAATAATAAGGAAGAGAGCTATTTGTGTGATACATCGCTATTGATATGGATTTAAGTGCATATTTGAGACTTCCAAACAGTAAACAAAAACGTAACTTATGGGTGAGTGTTTTTAGCAGATCCATATAATGTCCTTGTGATTCTGTTTATTATTACCTGTCTGTATTATGTTGCAGCTCAGCTGATTTTGGATTGATGGCAAAGGGAGAGGGACTTAAGTGAGAGTGAAAACACAAGGTAAGTTTAAAATAGGTCAGCAATTTCCCATCCTATAGGTTGCTATATAGATGTATCCAACCCTTTCTCCTGTCTTTGTCTCCCTCTTTCAGCACAAGAACCCCAGGGGGATTCAATGGAGCGTGAAGACCTGCAATGAGACCCTCACCCTGCACCTGAGTCTCAACTCCCAGAGAGTTTTGCAAGCCTCTCCCTGTTCCTTATTTTGATTAAACAGACGTTAAGCTTCCAAATGGTGTGGTCTTCGTTTTGTGAAAAATATGATTATACATATGTTATTGTTGCTGTTGTTGTCTTTTGTGATAGTTAAATTGCTCCTGCTGACTTGAGCCAGACATTCTTTCCTCCTCTCTGTGTGAGTGGGGAAACTTTACATGTGTACTCCTTTCTCTGAGCGATTGGAGCATCCCCCGGCAGCACAGCAAACCATGGGGGAGACGATATGCCAGGACAACACAGAGGAAAAGGCACAGACAACCTGCATGCACGCTATTCAATGTTTATTGAATTCCATTTATTTACAATGGATGTTCCTAAAACAACACATTTAACATCATCATGCTGCTGCTGCTAGTCCTTTGACTCATTGTGCTGTCAGTTGACAATCATTGATAGGCACCTGTCGGTCTCCTGTCCTTTCTGAAAGTCATAGATGACATTACTCATTTAGATTACTTATGTCCTCAATTACCAGGGGATTACTGAAACCACCATGAATTAAAGAAATGGTAGAAATGAATCTAATCTGAATTTTGAAACCTTCCTTCCCATCCCCTCCCTCTAAATATATCAATAAACATTAGGATGTGATGCTCCTGACTACCATACAGGTTTAAGAAGATAATATTTGTTTTAAAGAATTCAAAGCAATAAACAACAGGCTCTTTAACCAAGGCAATGTTAGCCTAACATGTATATGTTAACAGGTAAGATAGCTGTTCACACTTTCTATTTTCTACTTTTTTTAGTGCTATTTTATTTCTACTTAAGATGTTTACATTTTCGATTGTTTGATTCTAGTCTTTTAACTGTCTAATGTACTATGCCTTGTCTTTTGCTGCTGCAGCGTAAGCATTTCCCCAATTGGTATCAATTTCTTTTTTTATCTTAAACCTCAAATATTAGCAAATGTTACTTTAAAAAAAAGAAATTGATGCAACTACATACACATATCAATATGATGTATAAATATTGCAAATCAAAACCTTTATTGACCAGTAATTTCCCAAAAATTGCGTTTCTATCCTGTTATTTATGCATTCAAATCGTGAATCAAATTGCCCGCCACGAACTTCCGGGGAACTATTGAGTCTTCCTGAACCACGTGACGATCAAGCATTTTGGACTTCCGCTGTCGCAACTCTTCTATCTACATGGCGCCGGCTATAGTATAGTTGTAAGGACAATCTTAAGTCCCAGGCTAACAGTGCCATATGCAATATACTTAGAACAAAGAAATAAGCAAAATAGTACAATGAATAAAGTGCAAGTGATACCATAGTGCAAGTAAATGCAGTAGTAATTTGCCTTAAACTAAACTCATGACACACCTTTAATGCCAAAAGTTGAAAATAATTTTAAGACCATGCAAGCTTTCTGCATAAACTTTTCTCTCTCAATGGTTTCAGGAGTTGCAACTAAAAACATTTGTGATAGCATTTGTAGGTCAATGACAGTAGGGCAAACTGCAATTCTTGGATTACCTGTGTCACTGGATGACCAAAATAAAATGACTATAATTAGCCCAGGGTAAAGAGCATACGACATGTGGGGATACCCTGAGTATGTTTTGACTGACTTATTAAGCTATACTCATATTAACTAGAACACTATATCACAAAGTTTGAGCGCAGAAACGAATGGCTGTAATGCATTTAAAGCATAAATAGTGCTCAGAGTAAATGTGTTGTGTCAACGTACCAGGAACGACAATAGTAAGATTACAATTGTATGTTTTAGAATGTCAATTACATTGTATTCTACATTGTAACACGAGCCTTGGTCAACGTGGCAGGTCAACCCAGTGTGTGAATGTAACGTTAGTTATTATACTGTACGTAATAACGGTTGTTTTTAAACTATACTAATGTGTTGCCGACGTTAATAATAAGCTATTAATTACTTTAATGCAAAACTGCTGTCTTCTAAGATGTCACATCATATATTTGTGGACAATACAACGTAAGTTTAAGTGAACGCAAACAGAAACCTAACGTTGCTGACTTTACAACAGCTGATAGCTAACGGGAGTAAGTTGAAGCTAGTTAGCTGGCTAGCTAATGCTAATTGGCTAGCGGTTTCTAGAATTCTAGTGAACCTCGGTCAAAGTGAAAGGAAATGTAGGAGCATGCATTCCCACTGGCAGCAGTGACATGGTGGTTTGAGTGTGATACAGACAATGTTAGTATCTTTATTGACTAGTTAAAGCGTACAAGTTAATCAAGTTTTAACATAGCTACCTTCCTCAGCGGTGTCCATCTTGACTGGCTAATAATGCAGCCCTGCTCCACAAGTCAGGCCAGTCAGTCAGTAAAAAGAAAGCGACAACCGCCTGCTATCTTCATGTAAACATCTTAAGTTATTGTTCAGTTCAAGCTCCGAAGGTCTCGACGAGACCATACGTTTCGTAATTAAATAAAGCTTTTTCTCTTCATAGTACTTCAGCTAGCGGTCAGGACATGTCCAACTCCACATCGTGCTGTTATGTGGTGTTTACACCATTAGGTGGCAGTCAAACGCAGTCCACCAGCTTGGTAATGACCGACTGTATATAATTACATCACTTTATTTCATAAATAAACATGTATAAACATATCACAGTTCAAGAGGTTTTCTGGTTATCATGCAAAATAATGTTTGTACAATACAAATAAAGTTCTACCAGATAGGGTTGCTTTTATTTTCAATCCACTTGACAATATTAGATCTTTGTCTTTCTCTAAAGGAATTACACTTTCTATAAATAATCAAAGTTATGCAATTAAACATTGCTTAACATAACTTATACTTTCTCATTAATCATAGTTTATGTTATCTTTAATCCAGCACGTAGAAAAAATTAAAAGCCCAGTTGATCATTCACCCCAAAAGTGAACATGGGAGTAAAATAATCCTGTTATAACTGTAACATAAGATAATAAATACTTTATTGATCCCAATTTTGGAAATCTTTGCATAGACAACTGACTTTGAGTAAGTGTAACCACCCACCAAGGGCACTGTCAACCAGTCTTATTTCCTACTTTGCCCAATATCGTACTCTGACATCATGTGGTGTAAAGACATAACACTTTGTAGCACTTTCTTTTTAATCAGTCCTTCCCAGCATCTTCAGGCCGACCCCACAGTAGAATTGAGTGGATTTAAAATAAAATAAAAGAGATTGTCCCAGTGTTGAAGAGCATGATGACATTTTTCAACAAGATAAGAGTTACATTTATGTGGGTGAATCTGGTTTATCTTTGGGTTCTGGTGTCATTTCCCTTGTCATGCCATTTTGCAACTGTGTTTTAAATGTCTTGGCATCGTACACCCAAACAGTGTCTATGCCCTCTCCGGCGGTGCATTCAGGGACCCAAGTAGGAAAGGGAAAGCGGCATGCCACCACCTTGGCTGTACTCGGTAACTCGCTTGCAAGCTTCACCTCCAGCTGGTCCATCTGCAGATACAGACAGCAACAATTAAAATATCAAGTATAAGAATATCAAGAGTCATACAGGGATTTGAAATATTTATTTGTCAACTCAAATGCAAAGCTTATAGGCGGTAGAGTTATAAATTGGGGTCTTGATAACATTAAAGTAGGGAAAAAATGGGGACTCACCATTTGAGGGACTCCAAATATGACAACATTGGAGTACTGAGCAAAACTGACCTAGAAAAAGAAAGAAAGAATTATGCAGTCAAAATAAATGAATTGTGGTGACGAGTCACAACATAGTATGTTCTAATCATGTCTCACTGACCTTCCATAAGTCAGAGATGTGGAAGGAGGTGGAGCGGTGGACTCCCTCTCTAAAGGCCTTGTAGCGAGAATACCACACCAGCCAGGGGTTCAGCTCAAAGCCTGATGCCTTAAAGCCATGCTTAGCTGCTGCTATCACCTGCAAGAGGAAGGTGGGTGAAGGGAAATTCAATACATCACTAACAATATACAGCAACTGCAGCATCAGTTGGATTTAAAGCAAGTATGGTATTCATTTTGAGACTATTATCTGATGTATCTTAAATTTGAATTTGGAAGAGGTGGATTTAAAAAATATATATATATTAAGATTTCACTGGTTTTTAATGTGAAAACAACTAAACATAAACCAGAAAATGTAAGCTTAATATGAACTTTAGGAGAGATATAAAATATGTTTAATAGATATATTTTAGGCTAAAATGGCTCTGGAATAAGGAGATTCCTGCTTTTGTTTTTTATTTTCATATTAAAATGAATACATTTGGATTTAGGCCTGACAAAACAAGACATTTAACTACACCAACTTGGATGTACCTTTGTTATGTATTACTTTTAATCATTTTCTTGCTTTTATTTGCAGTTGTTTTGCTTCTATTTGTAGTCTTTATGCATATGTTCCTGGTTGGTATTGTGGGAGTAACACTTTGTAGGTTATTGCTGGTGAGAATGGGGAGATTTCTTCAGCACAGTCATCCATGCTGACTAAATCTCACGTTGCCACAGGTTTGCCACTGGTTTACCACAGGTTAAGACAACAAAGCACTTACTATCCTTCCATCTCCACTCCCTATGTCCACCAGGCGACCTGTTCTGGCTCGCAGCACCCTGAGGACATTCTCCACCTGAGCCGTGGTGGCAGGGACGAACGGGAGGCAGACTTTCCTCAGGGCAGGGGTGACAAACGGAGTCGCTACTGCATACAGGGCGACCAGTGACCCTCCTAACAACCCAGTGACGACGAGACCAAGGTTACTCCTGCTCTTTTTCTCCGTTACCTGTCCTGCTGCTACTGAGTCCAAAAAAAGCTCCTCTTGTGACATCCTATTGGAAACGCAGTACGTTTAAATCCGTAACTTTAGCCGCACTTGGACTGTATGAATGACAGCTCGGATTCGCCTTAATGTTAGCTGACCATGCTAGCTACCTAACATACATGTCATATATAAAATATATAATTTGTTGTGTCAAAAGCGAAAAAAAAATGATTATTGGCCAAAGAATAAGCTAAAGAGAAAGTCCCACAAGTCTTAAAAGATGACCTGTGCTTCGCTCTAATGAGTCCGATAGGAAGACAAAGATAATCGGACGAAGGTTCCTTTGTGCTTTCGTTCCCTGGTAAGTGCATTAATAAAAATAATTGCAAATAAATGCACACACATGCACACATTAAATGACAATGCCATGGTGCCATACAGTGTAAAGGAAAAAGCTGATATTTAATTAATTAAATAAATAAATAAATAAATAGAGACAGCCATTTAACCAACATGGATAATTCATCCAGAAATAAAACGAGATTACATTTTGAAAAACAAATACACATGAATAACATCAATAAATACTCACAAACAAACACAAATAAATGGCTGACAAATGAATGAATGTATGACGTATCAATTTCCACAGGAGCGTTTCTAGAACCCTGTATATATTGGATTTGCAAAACAATATTTTGCTACAGGTTTCTTTGAGTGTAGACTTGACAGTAATGACTAGATAGAATGTTTCCATGAATTGCTGTCCCTGATAATTACAGGCTTTTCCTATATGGTTCTAAACATGTTCTTAATTTGGTGGTGCAATTATGTCATCCATGCAAAAAAAAATTCTCATATACAATGCAGTCATTCATATATCCTATTCCAGACTTGAAACAAGGAACAAATAATGAAAAAAAGTGAAGTAGTATTTATATTATAGTACTAGTGTGTGTTTCACAAACTTAAGTCCACTCTATTCATGTTGAAAACTATGTAAAACTTCCGGTTATTCCACTAGAGGGCCATAATGCATTATAAACACAGAATATACAATAATAATAAATACTATACATTAACCTAGCAAAAAAATGTCAGTGATTGACCACGAAGTATTATAATATGTTGCCATAAAGTTAATTATAACATGCTTTATAATATGTTTTGATAACTGTTAAAAATAAATAAAAATATAGAGCAATAGGCAGACAATAAAACATAATAACTATGTTTATAATGCATTATAGACATGTGCATCTTATGTGCTACCGCACTTCCATTTAATTTGAAGTATGAAAGCCAATAACATTAACAGAAGTTGTGAAGAGGAGCATTAGGTTCTATAAATAAAACTGAAATGTAATTGAACAAAACAAATGTTCCCATCACCAGATTACAAATAAAGGGGGCGGGTTATTTTTTGCCCTTTTTCTTACATTAGAAGTCATTAGACAGTGTACGGTGGACGGTATGGTCCTGCCCTGAAGTGCCATGGTGCATATGATGGTGGTACATGCGTTGCTGGCTGATGGTGGGACCGTCATCCATCATAAAGTCCTCGTCCTCTTCTGCCCTGTAGCCCTCTGCCCCATCCTGAGAGTAGCTATGCTTCATCATCAGGATGCTCCTGTGTCCTGCGGGTGTGGTATGTTGGGAGAGGTGCGGTGACTGTTGGCTGCCCATCCCTGGAGGCAGTGGTGGTGGCACGAGGCCCCCCCCATCAGCCACTATGGTTGCGTCCCTCATGCTCAGGTTGCTGCGACTACCGTGGACACTGCCATGCATGCTCCCCGGGAAAGAGCCACAATGGTGGTCACGGATGCATTTGGAGGAGGAGCGTCGGAGCTTGTGAAATTTCTCATAGTCCTCGGCCATGGCGGCATCGTTCACGTCGCCGGAGGGGGTGCGGCGCAGAGTGCAGAGCTCGTAATGAGGAGGCTCAAAACCAGGGTGGAGGAGGGCAGGGTCAAAGTCATCTCTGTTAAGATAGTTAAAGGAAAGAACACACACAAACACACACACACACACACACACACACACACACACACACACACACACACACACACACACACACATACACATACACATACACACACATACACAAGTTAATATAGGTAATGTTCAGAAAAGCATTACAAACTGATAGTATTTCTCAAAACAGAACAGCAACAGAAATCTGAATATTAAAGCCAGGTTTAAAATGTTGGCTTCTTTTTCCTAGGGTGCAGGTTTTAAGGGTCAAAGTGTTTTTCTACATAAATAACAATGTAGGCCACGAATGATTTATCAACAAACCCCTCTGCAAAAATCATTAGAATAGAGATACCTATAAAAACAATCGGTCATAAATATTGAATTTTGAAATAAGATATATGAAAATGTAACCTGCGAATTATGTATTTCTTGCGAGGCTGTTTGACCTGGATGATGACAGAGATGATGAGCAGGATAAGAACCAGGCCACAGGTGACGCCGATAATAGCCATGTTAGTGCCATCCAGTGTGTCCAGAATACTGGCCTGCCTTTTCTCTAGTTAGGAAAATAACATACAAAATAATGACTTTATGTTCAGCTAGAGCCAACGTATAGCTGTATGGCAGCCATTGTGTCAGGGTACCTTTGCAGTGATTCTCGTCCCATGGGAAAACACAGTTCTGGATACCGTTGCAGACCAGCGTTTGGTTGATGCACATGTTGCTATGGCAAAAGAAAGTTTCTCCTTCACATGGAGCTGAAAAAACAGAGGCAGGAGTCATGCCATGGCGCACATAATATTGAAACATAGTCATTTTTAAATGTAGATAATTCTATTATATGCTTGGTCACTTGGGGGAAGGACAACAAGCTAAAAGACAACCCATTATAACCATTTACTGAACAATTGCCTATTGATTTAAACAAACTATAAAAACTGAGCCACATTAATTTGGTTTGGTTAATAAATGAATGCTTGGATCCCTATTTTTCTCGATTCAATAGGCCTTGATCAGATTTTTTTATTCATCATATCCTATTTCATCATTTGTCTTGGTGTAAACATTTATCTTTGTGATTTGGGCTAAAACACCTTTTCAATAAATTACAAGAATATTCCGGGGTTGCGATGTTTACTGAATTGGAAGATGGAATCGTTCATCGGGCAACCCAACCCCCAAATAATATTGAGATAAGTATAACCAAAAACGCCACTAGAGAAGCTACAATTAGATTTTTGTGACCATTGTCAAGCATAGCCGGTGCACCGGTAAAAAGAGAGCTTGCAGGTATATAGATTCACTCACGCTCATGGAAAGTTGTAAAGAGGATCCTGAATTTGCTCTTCCTGCTACCCTCATCTGCCCACAGCCTCACCACACCCACAGAAGACACCAGCATGACATCGTTGGCCACCGTGGAGCAGAACTTATTCTTCAGGTGCTCAACCGAACTGCTGCCGTCGTAGATGGCAACGAAGTTACGCTTGCACTCGTTCGAGTTGTGCATCTCATATTCCAGGAAACGCAAGTAGATCTGTGGGCAAAGAGCTTTGATGTCAGTTACTGCTGCTGGCTTCCCAGCTAGCAGGGACCGTTCTCACAACTTTGGCTCTAACGTTACCTACAGGTTCTACACCGTTTTAATCTGATGTTCAAATAACCTTTTGAGGATGTTTATTATCTTAAATAATGTTCCTATAAGGTTTAAGGTTAACTAAGACATAACGTTTTAACTGCAACATTCAGAGGATGTTTTGAAGATGTAATTGAGGCCTGAGATGACAGAAAGTTTTTTATAATATTTTCTTTTAATGTGATATGTTAACAAAAGTGGAACGTTTTACCTGCAACATTCGGAGGATGTTTTTTGGACGTTGTTGGGGTAACATATTATAGATGTTCTTTTATAAAACATTCTCTCAATGTTACATGATAACAAAAGAAGAACATTTTCAAAGCGACATTCAGAAAATGTTTTCAGGAGGTTATTCTTTTTTATAAAACGTTCCTGTGATGGTATATAAACACGGTCAAACGTCAGATTTATTTGTAGAGCGCTTTAAAAAACAAACTTGTTGCATTTGTTTGAAAAGGATGTTTTGAAAAATCTGATGTCACCACATTTTCCTTTTGAAAAAAACAAACAAGCACGTAATTCATGATAAGCTGTAAGCTGATATTGCATGTTTGCGGTGGCATGTGTGAGTTCCCAGCTAGAAATGTTTGTTACCATTTGTTTTTCTAGGAATGT